CACTTCATTTTGTTATGCATGTCTTGTTCCATATTTTACCAGATATATTCTATCTAATCATCCATTCCTTTCAGATAGTGCTTTCCTTCACTTGTTCCAGTGTAGTGTTCACCATCTATCCACTTTCCCCCCTGTTCTTCCTGCTCTGCTTCTATCCTATTTTTATAACAGTGGTCTTATGCAGTATCTGTCCTTTTGTGACTGAGATATTTCACTCAGCATATTGCCTTCTGTATCAATCCATGTTATGTAGTGCATTACCAGTCATTATATTTCAATGCTGCACAAACACAAGATACGGATAGAAACTTCATCAAAGAAGAGAGTCAGATGGGCAACAGGTACATGAAGAAATGCTCAAAATCACTAGATATTAGAGAAATATCTAGAGAGATGCAAATCAAAACAATAATGAGCTGTCATCTCACCCCAGCAACAGAAGTTCAACAGGACAGCAAACAGCAAATACTGATGAAGATGTGGAGAGATTGAAACTCCTATGCACTGCTGCTGGGAATGTAAAATGGTGCAACCACAATGGAAGGCAGTCTTGCACTTCCTCAAAAAGTTAGACTTAGAAATATCATTTGACCCAGCTATCTCACTATTGGGAATACACTCTGACGAAATCAGTGCCATAAAACAAACAAACAAACAAACAAACAAACAAAGTTGTGTGTCTATCTGTGTATGTACGCCCATGTGTACTGTAGCAGCATTCATAATAGCAAAGAGATGGAAGCAGCCCAGGTGCTGATGAATGGATAGAAAAACTGTGGTACATTCAGTATGTCTGAAAATTCAGACCCGTCTAACTCATTGGGCTCAGACGTCTGAGTGAGTGGACACAGGGGGGCAGTATAATCCTGTTTGGCCATAAGCTCAGGGCTTTCTTTTTTATTAGCTTTTTGGAGAAGTTACTCCACTTTGGGAAGAAATCTTCTGCATTCAGTCTAACAGCAAAATGCTATTTTTAGCTCGCACCCTTTATGCTTTGATGGTGATGTTTCCCAGGCACCAGTCAGCAAGGGAAGAACTCTAGGTCCAGAACGCCTACTTCAGCATTCTCTAGAATCAAAGACGGCAAGATTTCTTCTCACGTCCCTTGGGAAGGCTCTCAGGAAGGCTATTCTGGAAGGAGACAACATGCCTGGTAAAGTGGAGAGTCAGCAAAAAAGGGGCCACCCTTCAATGAGACAGGTTGACACAGTGGCCGTCAGAGTGTGGCAGGATTAGTGTGGATGGCACAGGACCGGGCACGGATTGTTGTGCTGTCCACAGAGTTGGTGTGAGTCAGAAGTAACCCCGTGACACCTAACATCAGTACAGCAGGTGTTAGCAAACAGAGGTCTCAAAGGCTCAGGGCCTCAGTGTCCCATGTTTACACGGAGTCATCACATGAGAGCCTGTGTCTGCACACACACTGTGGACTCTGACTCGCTCTGTAAGTGGTACATGCATTATTTTAACCAACACTGTAGGGAGCACCAGTGGGAGCAGACCTGCTGAACCCGAGGTGGTGCCTCTCCGGCGGTTCCAATCCACTAGAGGGTCGTCATGAGAAAGATGGGCTGTCTCGGTGAGCTCTGGTGGCCTAGTGGCAAGAAGCTGCACTGCAATCCAAGAGGTGCACGGTTCGAATCCACCAGATGCTCTGCTGGAGAGGGAGGAACAATCTCCTCCTGTACCAGTCAGATCTGATTTGACGGCACACACACAAAAATAATAAAACAAAAAAAATTAAAAAAAAAAGATGGGCAGTCTCTTCCCTTATGATTCACAGGCTCCCAAAACCTGCTGGAGGGTCACATATGAGTCGGTTCCAACTTGACAGCAAGAAGATGATAGTGCACCAGTATCACTGTTAAAATAACAATTTCCCCTGAAGTCTTTGCTCAACGATGCCAATGGTATTGTCCCTGTTGGGGCCACTGGCTTTAAGAGCACAGCCCTCACTGCCACTCCCCTTGGTCTCTGAGACGCCGCACAGGTGCTGGGTGGTTATGTATAACCCAGTCCCATGCAGCATCCCTTCCTGTGCTGACATGTTCACACTGGGTGGCAGGTTTGGATTTCCACAAAATGAGCCAACCTGAGAGACTACTATATTGAGATTTTTCACATCTCTCTATTTTTGATTCTGTTTCAGTACATTTTATTTCTGTGGTTCTGAAAAAGTCCATTTCTTTTTTTCCCCCCGTACTGGTTTATTTATAAAATTCAAATACAAATTTGAACAAATTCTTTCAATTTTCCTCACCCCCCACTCATCATATTGTACAACCCAATGATTAATCTCACCTCCCCTTGAACATCCACATCCCTCTGCTTCCAGCCTCTCCCATCTCTCCTGGATCCTTCTACTCCTTCTACAATAACAGTTTTATACAATATTTATCCTTGTGGGACTGAGTTAGTTCACTCAGCATAATGCTCTCCAGTCCCTCTCAAGTTAGGTAATAATTTACAAAGTTATTGCTCCTGCGTGCTGCATAGTATTCCATTATGTGAACGTACCATGATTTCTCATTCCATTCGTTTGTGGTTGGACATTTGGGCTGTTTCCATGTTCTTGCGATGGTGAATATTGCTGCTCCATTTCAGTTTTGATTCACTGGCATTTTATTTTATTTTATCTTGATGAAAGTATACACAGAAATTCAGCCAAACAACAGACAGGCTTATACAGTGAACAAATACTGCAGAGGTACTTACGTCTTACAACAGTCATTCATATAATATCAAAAGGGCATTATTGTCCAGGGATAAAGCTCCGAAGGAATGAAGGGCTTGTATAGAAGGATGAGTGGAAACAAGAGTCACAGGGAGGAAGGAGGAAGTGTGCTGTGACAATATGAGGGCTGTTGAGGAGCTTAGAGAGAGAATGGGAAAAGAAGAGTGGATAGATGATGAACACTGCATTAGATGAGGGGAAGAGCTGTCTAGAAGGAATATATGATTAGGCATTATGTGTATGACAAAAATCTGGAATGAGGAGTATGTTGCAGGGAGACCTGGGAGTAAGGGAATAAATAGGTGTTTGGATTTGATGTTAATTTGGGAAACCTACCAGAAGGTTTCAACTAGGTGTTATGGGTTGAATTGTGTTCGCCCCTAAACAATGCTTGAGGTTTGGGTTATTGGACCTGTGGATAGGCTTCTGTTTGGTAATACGGTCTGTCTTATGTTATGAGGTCATACAGGTATAGGGTGAATCCCATGCCTGGTCACTTCTAAATTGTAAGAAAAGAACAGAGATGCAGGCATGGAGGCACCATGTGACCAAGAGGCAGCCCCATCTCCAGTCCCCACAGTGTAACAGCACTCTTCCTGCTTCCTCCCTGTGACTCTTATGTCCATTCATCATTTGTACCTTTTTCCTTCTTTCCTCCTGGGCAAATGTTGCCCATTTGGTTTTGTATGGTTGATTGTTGTAAGGACTGAGTACTTTTCTGGTTATTGATCACCTTACAGGCTTGCTTGATATTGTGTGGCAGATTTTTTTTTAAATAGTATTTTTTTTATCACATCTCTTTTACTTCACTGTAATAGCAGGAGTGGTACCAGTTACCTGGGTGGTGAAGTACAGATGAAATTTCTACACATCCTTGCCAAAAACATCTATTCCGTATTCCAACTGTAACTGAAAGACAATAGAAAAAAGGGGAGTTGTTTATTGTACAATGATATGATTATCAGTGTGTGAGCTTTGGACACAGTTACCCAGAAGGCATAGTAAAGTACTTAGATAGCACATGATTTTTTTAAAATGCCAATCTTTGCCAAAGTCTTGGAAAAGATCTAAATGAAACTACAGTTGTTATTGATTTACATTAGTACCTGCATTCCTGGAAAACCCAATATAATTTGAAACTGGACAAGAAAGCAAGTAAGTGCTTATGTTTATATATAAAGAAGAATTTGATTCTAGGATCAAATAGTAGGTTGCAAGAATGTTAGAAAACTGCACAGGAAGGTGGGGGTTGTTTGGTGTGTGTAAGCATCTTAGGTATTGGGGGCCACCCTGGACATCTGGTTCCTGCCTACAAAATGTCCCTGCAAATTTCCAGAATGTTTTCTGCAGCTGGAACATGCCTATGATGAACTGTGGTTCTCCCTATAGCTGTTCTCTGGGACATTCACACCCCTATCCCTGCATGCTGAGAACATTTAACAGTAATCTAACCCCCTGCGAGGCAACAGTAGGTCTTCCTGTTCCTGTTTGGTCCCCAAGACTTGCCCCAGGGTATATCCTTAATAAGTATTTTTTGAAAGAAAGAAAGAAGGAAAAGAAAGAAAGAAAGAAAGAAAGA